AGTGTCTGACTTTTCAAGCCATTTCTTTACATTCGCCTTCCAGCTATTTCTCCCTTGCCTTATTAGTTTCCATTTTCAGCTCATCCTTTACCCTTCTATATGATTTCCCTCCTTCCTCAGTGCTCTGCTTATATTTCCTCCATTTTTTCTATGAATTCTGGTGTTATCCAAGGCTTTCTTCTATTCTTTTCTTCAGTGCCTCCCATATCCTACTTTAGTTTCTTTCTATTTCCTATTTCTACCGCTACTCAATACTTTCTTATTTCAATGTTTCTTCGTTTCTTCTGTATCGAATTTCTATTATTGTATCCATACCTTTTAACCTTTCTGCCAGTATAAACTCTATCTGCCTGCGGTACACCACCCGATGCTTAGCCTTCTTTTATGTTGTTTAAACGACGTGTTGCAAGCAATCAAACACCCCCCCCTCCCCTCTCTCGTTGTTTATCCCTGCTCCAAACTGTCCCATCTCTTCGTCAATGCTGCCTTCCTCTACTACAGCATTCCAAACCTCCAACAAAATCCTGCAATTGCCCTTCGTCGCTCAGAATGCTTTTAATTCTTCCATAAATCTTTTTTACCTCCTCGTGATCAGTGGTAGGCATATAAACCAGAATGCGCAGTACATTACCTGGGACTTGCCTCAATTCCATCGCCCTTATCTCCTTCAAATATGGCCTTTTAGACAGATTTAACCATTTCTTCTCTTTAGAATTAAAAAAGTTTTTTTTCCAATTTGTATTTCGTTCAGGATATTGCCGCTTCATAGTGAACTTGAACAAATATATGCCTGGCGATAACCAGCGATTACAAAAGCGTATTGCGGAAAGCGAGTGCGGTCGCCACGATCTCTTGGGACCTAAAAGTTTCGTTACGTTGTGTTTAAATCCATGCACGTGACAGAAATACAGGTTTACTATTCGTTTAAAAGGGTACGCTAGTCGAGGTCGTCTCGTCCAGAAAATAAGGTCCGTCTCGCTATTTCTACCGGGCTAGATTTAAATAGATTTAAATAGCTGGTTTTCACGAGCGACCTTGTATTCATTTGAACGCTAACCATCTAATCTTTTTTGTTGCTATATCAGAATAGCTAAGTTATAGTAAATAAACTGTTCATTTATTTCTATGAACCTGATACATCAATTTCTCTTCATTAGGAGGACACAACATTGGTGCTCTTGGTTCCTCGTTCGTTGACCTCACCTGGGCATTCATCAAACACAACGACGTGGCCGCCACGAAAGAAATCAAAGGTTACGCATTCTTTCGTTTTCGTGGAACCCGTCTTTTTTTTTTTTCTTTTTTTTTGCCCTAATTTACAATAACTGTTCCAAACCTAACGCTATACGAAGGAAGTTAATGATCCATATCGATCCGACAATATCAATTATTTTTCGACTAAGTATGGTTTGCTGAAGGGGAATTTTAGGCAGTTGTATGTGTCGTTTGGTTAAACGCAGTTGTAATTTTGTGTTTCGAATAGCTACCGTGGCTGCTTCGATAATTACTCAGGTAATGATTATTACTTTTGTCTTTCGTTTATTGCAGTAATTATATGATTCTGTTAGATCATTTGCCAAATTAAAGGCATTCTACACATACATTAGGTACATACGAGTACAGCATGGGTATTGTCATTGCTTTGCAAATACCGATTGTTGTCGTACATATTATTTTGCGATCATACTGAGACTCTTCTGAGAGGCCAACTGGTAACGTTTTCATACAAAGCTGACATGTCATGACCAGAGCAACTAAACCACTACTCGATGTGAGATATTTGGACTGGCCACCCAATATCCAAACTTATGTGAATTTATTATAATGTTTAATGATGGTTTTTTTATTTATTAATTCTTTAGGAATTCCAAGGGAGCCTATGATTCGACATTGTATTTATTTACTTGACAACTTCATGTCATTACAGACAACTAATTTTGCTATAAAGTTTAATATTAATTTGTGGGCTGGTTTTTTTCTTGGTCAGTTCTTTTTTTCCCAGCCTATTTTTATACTTACACTCGGTAAACTACCATTTCCTAAATTTAATCTTGCAATGCAGTTAGATTACGTAGCGTTGTCTAGACGATCATATGCCATGGTGTTCAGTTAGTTTCGGAGGGAAAGTTTTGAATTTAAATCTTGAGTTGGGCAGCCTCTCGGGGTTAGCCTCGGTAGGTCAGAAACAGAGCATTTTTAAGGACATTATTATGTACCTGTCACAATTCATAGTAATAACTAAAGTGGAAAGGTCCGTCTATTTCCATTACGACTTGCCTTGATTATGACTATAGCCCAAATTCATATGCAAGCTTTAGAATCGCATTAAGGTTGTTGAAAGATGTCCATTTCCTCTCGGTCGCTAGATAAATTGCGTTCTAACGTTGATTTCTCTTCCCCATTACATAACTGAAAGCAACTTTCAACAATGTCCGGTTTACAACCGAACCGAGAACCGAACTCCATTTGGAGATTAACGTATCTAATAATCGACTTAACTTACGTAACATAGTCCATTTTATAAAATTTCCCCAATTCAACTTCTCGGCGTCGATAAAGTCCATCTGGGAAAAAGGAACGAGCAAACGTATAAAAGGATTAACAGTGACAAAACGCTTGCGAAGCCCTAATGAAAGGGGTGGGTACCGCGAGCGGGAAAGAAAACTAGTTCAGTTCTTCTGCAACCGAGCAAAACTTGATTATTTTTAATTGCAATTTTAATTAAAGTACACGGTTCTAACAGTGTAGACGTAATTTAAATTGTAGTTTTAACTATCTCACTCCCAAGGTGTATTTGTTTGTTACACGAGTCCACAATTTATTCTCATCGGATTATAAACACTCGACCCTTCGCGTCGCCCTTTAAAAATCCATAAAGATACAATTCGTACTTTAATTCAATTTCCTAACTCACTAAATCAAAATTTAATTTCAGTCTACCAAACGAAGCAGAGATAAACGGTTCTTGAGATTTAGCGTCTCGATAACATCTAAATTGAGACGAGGCTATTTACTATACCATTCTTTGAAGATAGGTGTACGTACCACAATTCCTTTAATGCCCAGACGTTACAAATTAAATTCGTATTTCCTTCGGGCGCTCGTGTGTATGCGGATAGGGGTGGATCATAAATTATGTCCCGGTTAATATCAAGGAAAAAGAGCGAATGATAAATCATTATTTAGTTAAAAGGTTAGTTTGCTTTTCTCGGTCATGAATTAAATTACTTTTTAAATATGGAGTTAACCGGGTATTGAGATAATGAAGGTCGTAAATTTTCACTGGCGTCACCGTCAGTACATGGGCCTGAATTTTCCAGTTGTGAATAGTCGTACGTAATTAATGATAGGATTTACTGGGTTTTGAATACGATAAGAGATGAGTATTACAAATATTAAATGCTAAAAAGAAAATGCTCTTAAAAAATCTACGCAAGTTTTAATAACACACAATTAAATGAAAAATTCAATCAACTATTTTGTCTGATTCAGATTCGGTCAGTTGTAATTCAAAGTTGATGAACATTGTGACAGTTGAAAAATGAAGGAGACTTCAACTGATATGTTGCTTTCTCATATAAGCAAATTTGGTAAATAATTGCTCAGCATTTGACACTTTTTCTGCTGATCAACTTTCATCAATTAAATTACTCATTGGTGGAATTTCAGTTGCTAACAGTCAAGTATTTAATGACATTACTTTTGGATCACTTCTCTTTCACAAGCTTCAATTTACTAAACCATCCGCTCAGATCAATGATTCTGTTCGAGGATGAAAGTCCAGAGCCGTCTGTTATATCGACAGACAGTGAGACCACTATGGAACGCCAATTTACTATTTATTAACTGCATTTTAAGTATAGCATTTTAATTGGTTACGTTTATATGCCATTGTAATAAAATGGTTTTGTTAAATTAAAATCCACATTTTCTTGGAGTACGATAGTAATTTAAATAGTTTCCTTTGTAACATGTCACAAAATAACGACGTTTATATGGCGAATCCCGTAGCACCACTTCAGTTTTTAATGCCTGTAAATACTATAAATTGCATTTAAAATGCGATAGGTTTATTTTGAATGCTTTTTCTTTGCGATCATCTACATCACAAACCTATTTAAATGCTGGTGTGTACAAGATGCGTTTTACTATTTATTATACATTTATAACGTATACCAAAATATTTAAATAACAATTGAATTGTTACCAACAAATTAAACATGTCAAAAAAATGTTAGCCAAATGTATGCAAATGTAGGAAATGTTAATATGGATTTTAGCGTTTGAATCCTAAAACACTACAAGATGACAGAGATGAATATTAAACATTGCCAATTTAATTGTCATGCATCAAAATAAATAGCAATTTCTATAAAAGATTTAAACACATAACGCATTTATTTGGAACTGTCCAGCTATACCAGAAGTGAAATACATTTGCTGCTGTGTGTAATTGAATTGATATTAAATAAAATTGAGTCGAGTATATTTGCATCCAAAAAAAATGTAAACCATTCTCATGCGTATATCAAATTAAATCGCATGCATTCAAATCCGTATATATGCACTTTATGACTTTAAGAACAAACGTTATTCACGTATTGGATTAAAATAGATACCCGTTGCGATATTACCAATGGAAATAAAATTATTCGTAAGGTATGGCATAAAAATTAAATCGAAGTTTAAGATGTAGCATTGAATTCCAATGTATTTAATAGTGCATCTTTTAATTCAAATGAACGTCGAATTATTTTGTGAATCATTTCTATGCGATACACCGCATTAAAATAAAGCGCATTTTAAGTGTGCTTATACATACAATGGAAATTCGGTCTGCATAAAATGTATCGCATAAGAATGAGACACAAATTTAATGTATCAAATGGAAATGGTATGAATGAAAATTACTCTGCATGCAAATGCGCAGTTACGTTAGAGAAGGAAAGTAGCCGTAGGTCTTAGGCATATATATAAGAGAATTATATATATGGTCTTAGGTACGTTTTATTTGCGGTTGCGCAAAAACAAAACAGCTGTTATTGATTGTTACTTACATCGAACGTGTAAATGGATTAATTAATACGTTCATCAATTTTGAGAAGGCAAGGGATTTATTGGGTTATTTTCTGTCGGTCACACGTGACCTTTACAGTTTTTACGTACATATTCGGTAAGTCCAATTTTACGATTCCTTTTATGATAACAGTAAACAATGAATGTAGGATTTGCACCTGCTGCGCAATATTGTTTAATATAAAGCAAGAAAAAGGCCGATGGAAATCGAAAGATGTGCAAGAGGCGCCGGGTCCCCTTAACAATAAATTGGAGGTGTACGCTGTCGCTATAAAAATAGGTAATCTCAAATTTCACTTATTCTTACCTGTAATGCAAATTGAGTGAACAGTTACAGGTTCGTGGGAATTAATAATGGATAAAGAGTCCAGAGATAAACCGTTAATGGAACGAAGCTCATGTTCTACGACTCTTGTAAGGAACAAGCACATCGACAAGTTGATGCTCCTTCGTAATGGAAATTGTGTCGAGTTCAATCGTGATATATCTACTAACACGATAAGTTAAATATGTAATCTCCATTGAATGAGAGATTTGTATATTTACAAGATGCTAATACATGTACCTGTGTAGAAACACGAGCACGTGAGACATTGTTAGACACGTATCTCGTTCTGTTTGATGGGTGCACCGTAGTATGTAAACGATGACGTCGCTAACAAAGTTACACAAAGATTGTCAAAAAAAATTTGTATCCTGATAATTAAACGATTATCCTATTCGTCATCTGGAAGCGTTTATTTCAAAAGTGAACCACACACCGAGAAATGTAACTTCCCTACATACCAAAAGGCAGATTGAAAGAGAAGTCCTCGCAGGGATGATAGAAGCGTAGTTCCTCTTAACCCTTCAGTGGTGACGCACGGTCTCTCAGACCGACGAAAAGTATTTTTCAAATTTTTATAAAAACGATGCAGCGCATGGCACTGCTAGTTCTGCTAGCTTAATATTTTGCGTGTCTGAGACCAGACGAACAACTTGATGAAGCAAGCCGTTCTTTGACAATTTAGTGCCGTGAGTAATTGGCCGCTTTCCGGTGCATTGATGCTACGAAAATTCTAGTCAGCGCAGCATTGCAACGCGCATCCCCCCATAAGCTTAGTATTGTGTATAATTCAATTTAGTTATGTTCAGTGGCGGTCCCAGGGGGCCCGGCTCCCCCCCCTATTGTTCATTTTTTTCATCAGATTTATTCTTTTCCGTGTTGGGACAAAGTTCGGGTTTGGGCCCCTCCCTTTACCAAATCCTGGGACCGCTACTGTCAGTGGCGGTCCCAGGGGGGGGCCACGGGCCCCCTCATTCATTTTTTTCATTAGATTTCTTTCATTTTTTTCCATGTTGGGGCAAAGTTCGGGTTTGAGCCCCTCCCTTTACCAAATCCTGGGACCGCTACTGGTTATGTTACAAGAATAAAATTTATTTTTCGATTTATATGCCTTTATTTATTGACTGTACTTTTTCCTTTATTTTAAGCCAAGTTACATGCGTAGTAACTATACGAAATCAAGCCAAAATCAAATTCGGTCTCTCAGACCGAGGTCACCACTGGTGTTCCAAAATTTCACGTCACCACTGCAGGGTTAAAAACCCCTGTTAAAGTTTTTCTAGAAATGCTCCAGAATTTGAGAAATAAATTTTTAAAGTTGACCACGCACATACTTCTAAATAGAACACCTAACTTTGACATCGCATTAAAGAAGTTACAGAGAGGTTGGAAGAAAACCCCCTATAGGGGTGATAGAAGGCATGTTCCCCTTTAAAACCCATGTTACAGTTTTTCTAGAAGTGCCCCAGAATTTGAGAAATTAATTTTTAAATTTGACCTTGCACGTACTTCTAAATAGAACACCTAATTTTGACATCGCATTAAAGAAGTTACAGAGAGGTTGGAAGAAAACCCCCTGTAGGGGTGATAGAAGGGATGTTCCTCCTTTAACACCCTGCTCGCAGTTTTTCTGGAAGTGCCCTATCATTCGAGAACTTATGAGTGTGTTTGTTCATTCTTTTAAATGTGAACGTTGTGATTTAGGTAATTTTTGCTGTGCATGCGTGAGTTGTGGTTATGAAGCCGATTTTGCGTGATGATTGATGTCATTCACTTGAAAATGTTCGTTTTAATTTTCGGTGAAGTCCCAGACTATAATATAGGAAACCACGATCACTGCTTTTTTCATTCCATAAGAATCTCTCTTTTTGGTTATGTTATTGTGATCCTGTATATTGTACCTATAACGGTAGACAACTGCTATTTGCATTGCATGTAAGTGCACGTGCACGGCGTAGTAGTTACTGTTATGGAGGTGGTTATTGACAGTGGATCTATTACCTACTTAAAACCTTATATCTATCTGTATGTACGTGTGCGTTTACAATGAACGTATACAAAAATTCTTTTAAATGTGAACTTTGTGCTTTCTGTAATTTTTATTGCGCATGCGGGAGCTGTGGTTATGAACCCGATCTTGGCGGGCTAACGCCAACTTCAAAACACACCGGAATATTTGACCATATTCTGTAGTGAGGGAATGCCAAACTAACATGGCTGCCTATTTGAATATTCTCGCTTAAGTTTCCCGCGAGAATCTGTCACTCGGGGGCCACTCCGAGTGCACTAAGATCGTGATCGTCATGTACGACACCTACGTTGTGTAATAACTGGGTTCTCAGCAGGCACTGAGGGTGTTTTATGGATAAGGAACACCAAAAGTAAAAATAAATAGCTGATTAAGTTTATATTGAATCTAATACCAATACGATTACAGAGTGACCCGCATAATGGTTTTTAGCGGCGCCCCTGCAGAGGGTATTAGGTGGTTCTATACTACTCCGGCATTTACCTTACGAATTGGAAAACTACAGGAAAACCTAATTCGGAGTAGTCCTATAATAAACATCTAATGTACAGCACTTTTGAGCCCCCTCGAAACCGGGGTAAATACTATACAAACACGCTATGAGTAACCAAAATGGAATCGAGACATTCTCCAGGTATTACAACACATCATCAGGCAAAACTAAGAAGTGTTAAATATACCTCGACGGCCGGGAGGATTACCCAGGCCCTGTAGACATGGGCTAAAGTTGTTGGGTTCGGAACGAGTGAAAATGTTAGTGTTAGGTTCACCAAGGCCCGTATAAACTTGAATAACTCGATCCCCTCTAAACAAGCACACTTCCCTCTTGATTACTCCAGTCCCAAATAAGCAAATATAATGAAATGCAATGAAATAATCGAGAGTGACTAAAAAGCACAATACGCAAATATGTACACATGCAAGTATGTACAGCACAGATACAGCCCTACCGACAATGAAACATGACTGCCAATACCAACAAAGGTTACACATTAAGAGGTACAAGTGATTGAATCCAGTAAGTACATAAGTAAAGAGTTACAATCTACATTCAAGTTATGCACATTTATAGATTAATTGAATAAAGCAAATACCTCACCTGATACAAAAAAGCAAAAGGACACAGTTAAGGTATAACAAAATATTTCAAGACAAGCCGTACTTTACACTTCAGCCGGTTACAAGACAAAGACCATGAACACACATGTCAAATCCTATTTATTGAACAACCCAAGCCATTCGGTAATTTGATCTGCTAATACCCCTAAAAACCTCCCGAAAAAAAATTCTCAAAAGAAGGATTTGCGTAAATCGCAACATTCCTACACTCAAAATGTGCGATTCTCCCATAAGCTCAATAATAAATTTGGGAAAAATGGCGGAAATGAGCATATGGCCACACTGTCTTTATAGAGTCACTGTAATATGGGCACCGACAGCATAATACCTATTGGGCATTTACGAAAACTGGAGCGGTAGATCCACGATGGAAAATGTCGGTAAACATTTGATGATGACTGATGAGATGCGGTAACTTTGGTGCATGCCTGTTTATAGAACAATGCTTTTGTCATGTGTAAATGTAGCGCATAAATTTATAAACATATAGAGTAGGAAACAAAGATAGTTCCACAAACAGAACACCCTTCCCCATGTCAAAGGGTGCTGATAAATTATTAAACACAATGGAATAAGTTTCAATCTATAAAATGAACTAAAAATGCCGAAAATTACGATTTTTAGAAATAAACAGATATAGTTTCATCTGTCAAATCGCTACAGCGTTGCCGTCGTGACACACTAATTATCTTAAATTTTCTTATTAGGCCGTTTAATTTCAACTTATAATAGTTTGTTTTTCACCACCTTTATAAATATTTAAAAATCCATTTAGATCCTTTCTATATATCTATTATTAATATTAATTAAAAAATGGTTTCGCGAAATGTGACAAGTTCGCTTCCTGCAATATTTACAAACACGACGAGATTATGGCGCGTTTTGATAAGCATCAAGGCATCGCTATCTTTATTTCTTACTCTGAGATAAACAGCATATACCTACAAGGCTACATTAGCATATACTTACTACCATGAAAGTGTTTCGTAAGATCTAAGGTTTCGAATATAACAAAAAATGTACACAACGGAAGTCCTCTTGATAATTATTGAAGGAAAGCCAAAAAGATTGCAAAGTGAGGTTACAACTCTTGCACCTTTTTTTAGTGGCGCGCGTGGACCAACCAGATGAATACACTCCAATTAGTGATCCATTTCGTTAATGTGATCGGTACATATGGTAATAAAAGAACACTGTAAAATAATTACCTATCACATTTTCGAACGCTACGGTATATATACCGGGATCTACAGCTCCAATTTTTGTAAATGCCTCATAAATATATTACACCAATAGGCCTTCTAACCACCTCCATAACAGTGGCTACTAAGCCGTGGACTTGAATTTGGTTGGAAGTGGCTGACACATAGAAATTACCGTTAACAGGTACAATACACAGGACCACAAAAACTTATAACCAAAACGAAAAATTATGAAATGAATAAATTAGTAATCGTGGTTTAATATACTATTTAATCTGAAGACTTCGCCGAAAATAAATTACCAAACCTGTCGGCTGTCATGTGATTTAAGCTGAATTTATAGTTCCGTACCCGCAACACCGTACCGTAACGTTTGGAATTACTTGTTGCGCGTGAACCAGAGACATGGAGATGTCTCTGGCGTGAACATTTATAGTTCCCGTTTACGTTGCGTTAGAACGGTTACGGTACGTAGGAAATGCCCAAATCTATTCCTTACGGTAAATCGCGCTAACGCGCCTGTCTTCGATAGTACTCGGATAATTCAAACAGTTGAGTTTATCCGGACGTTCGTTTCGTTTATTTACAGTAATTATTGACACTTTGTTGGTTATTATTATTTTGAAATGCACGTTACTCTTACTGACAGATGACATACAATGGCAGATAAATACGCAAGCTCATCTCTTACCACTACGGTAACTATAAATCGCATAATTTTCGTTAACGTCAGATTTTACGGTTCCGTTCTTACGGCTACGGAACTATAAAGCCAGATCCGGCTTTAATGTGAATAACTGCAACAATTACACAAAATCGGCTTCATAACCACAGCTCCCGCATGAGCAAAACAGATGACCAAAATCACAACGTTCACATTTAAAAGAATGACCAAAATACCCTTAATCATTAAGTTCTCGAATTTTAGGGCACTTCCAGAAAAACCGCGAGCAGGGTGTTAAAGAGGAACATCCCTTCTATCGCCCCTATAGGGGATTTTCTTCTAACCTCTCTGTAACTTCTTTAATGCGATGTCAAAGTTAGGTGTTCTATTTAGAAATGTGCTAGGTCAAAAAAATTAATTTCTCAAATTCTGGAGCACTTCTAGAAAAACTTTAACAGGGGTTTTTAAGAGGAACTACGCTTCTATCATCCCTGCGAGGACTTCTCTTTCAATCTGCCTTTTGGTATGTAGGGAAGTTACATTTCTCGATGTGTGGTTCACTTTTGAAATAAACGCTTCCAGATGACGAATAGGATAATCGTTTAATTATCAGGATACAAATTTTGTTGACAATATTTGTGTAACTTTGTTAGCGAATGACACGTCTTCGTTTACATACTACGGTGCACCCATCAAACAGAACGAGATACGTGTCTAACAATGTCTCACGTGCTCGTGTTTCTACACAGGTACATGTATTAGCATCTTGTAAATATACAAATCTCTCATTCAATGGAGATTACATATTTAACTAATCGTGTTAGTAGATATATCACGATTGAACTCGACATAATTTCCATTACGAAGGAGCATCAACTTGTCGATGTGCTTGTTCCTTACAAGAGTCGTAGAACATGAGCTTCGTTCCATTAACACGGTTTATCTCTGGACTCTTTATCCATTATTAATTCCCACGAACCTGTAACTGTTCACTCAATTTGCATTACAGGTAAGAATAAGTGAAATTTGAGATTACCTATTTTTATAGCGACAGCGTACACCTCCAATTTATTGTTAAGGGGACCCGGCGCCTCTTGCACATCTTTCGATTTCCATCGGCCTTTTTCTTGCTTTATATTAAACAATATTGTGCAGCAGGTGCAAATCCTACATTCATTGTTTACTGTTATCATAAAAGGAATCGTAAAATTGGACTTACCGAATATGTACGTAAAAACTGTAAAGGTCACGTGTGACCGACAGAAAATAACCCAATAAATCGCTTGCCTTCTCAAAATTGATGAACGTATTAATTAATCCATTTACACGTTCGATGTAAGTAACAATCAATAACAGCTGTTTTGTTTTTGCGCAACCGCAAATAAAACGTACCTACCACCTACGGCTACTTTCCTTCTCTAAGGTAACTGCGCATTTGCATGCAGAGTAGTTTTCATTCATACCATTTCCATTTTGATACATTAAATTTGTGTCTTATTCTTATGCGTTACATTTTATGCAGACCGAATTTCCATTGTATGTATAAGCACATTTAAAATGCAATGTATTTTAATGCGGTGTATCGCATAGAAATGATTCACAAAATAATTCGACGTTCATTTTAATTAAAAGATGCACTATTAAATTCATTGGAATTCAATGCTACATCTTAAACTTCGATTTAATTTTTATGCCATACCTTACGAATAATTTCATTTCCATAGGTAATGTCGCAACGGGTATCTATTTTAATCCCATACGTGAATAACGTTTGTTCTTAAAGTGCATATATACGGATTTGAATGCATGCGATTTAATTTGATATACGCATGAGAATGGTTTACATTTTTTTTTGATGCAAACATACTCGACTCAATTTTATTTAATATCAATTCAATTACACACAGCAGCAAATGTATTTCACTTCTGGTATAGCTGGACAGTTCCAAATAAATGCCTTATGTGTTTAAATCTTTTATAGAAATTGCTATTTATTTTGATGCATGACAATTAAATTGGCAATGTTTAATATTCATCTCTGTCATCTTGTAGTGTTTTAGGATTCAAACGCTGAAATCCATATTAACATTTCTTACATTTGCATACATTTGGCTAACATTTTTTTGAGATGTTGAATTTGTTGGTAACAATTCAATTGTTATTTAAATATCTTCATATACGTTATAAATGTATAATAAATAGTAAAACGGCGCACCATAGACCACCCTATGCAATTTTGATTTAAAAAAATCGCACCTACGTTTAAATCACTAATGAGACGTCTGATCTTTGTTGTGCGCACATTCAAATATCCAGCTACGCCCATTATCGATTAATTAGGTTCCGAAATCTTGCACTGTATGCCATGTATACTCTTCCAACACTATTTCATGGTAAATCGCGCTTTTGGAGGATAATTTTACCCATTCCGAAACGTCACAGATATATTAAGAAGGATCGTTCAAAGTACTAACTAACTTGGTGTAACGGAAAAGCATTTCAAAAGTATTTTGCTAGGCATATGTACACATATACCGCTTCATAGCGAACATGAACAAAAGTATGTCAGGCGATAACAAGCGATAACAAGACCCGTATAGGGGAAAACAAGCGTAGTGGCCATGATCTCTTCGAACTTAAGAATTTCGAGACTTACTATTCGTTTAAAAATGTTCGATAGTCGTTGCATTCAGAAAGGACCGTTTCGGTATTTCTACCGGGCGAGATTTACATAGTGAAAGAGTGGAAGAGCAAGGGATTCGAAAACAATTCGCGCGTACACTCTGCATGAATTTTTCTATCGTTGAAGATTTATTCCAGGTTGATTTTGGCGAATCATCGCGGACCATTTTAAGGGCGTATGTGCGAAGATCTGTGGCCGAACTTCAACAACTAAAACGTTTATGAATTAAGTAGTAGTAAATAAGAAGCAGTTTAACTTCGGGTTAAATACATAGCGAGAAATCCGAAAGGTCGAATAAGTCGTGGAGAAACCCTTAAGCAAATTCGGGCTCAATTTTATATGTGTGCGCATAAACGAATTACAGTAGATTCCGAGACGAAGAAAAACTTTTTAGCATCCTAATTCGTAGCAAGCTCGTTCATTTACGAGTGGTACAATTTACGCGAAGGAATATTTTCGAATCGGTGAACTGCTTTTTAAAACTCATCGTGCTGTATAAAGTAGTGGTCGGTTATTTTTAGGAATTTGCGTGAGCTATTCTGTTCCAAGTAACTTTAATATTCCTAAAGGAATCGACCCGTAAAAATTATTTGTATGAAACAGATTTTGTATTGTATTTGTTGATATAAATCGAATCTAAACAAAGGATTTGGGTTATTTTGCTTCAGTGATTGGAATTTTGCATTTAATTTCAGTAATACTAGTCCTTGGGTTGGAGTAAAAATTTGTTCAGACGTGTGCAATTTACATCCAAGAACGTATAAAGAAAAATGGAACTTGATCGCCTTTGTTTTTATTAATATATTTAATCAACTAAGGTCATAAGCGTATATATTATGGTTCAATCAAATCAGCGCATTAGATTTTGAATTTTAAAGAGGCCAAACTTCTGCAAGGTAAGAGGTATAAATACCATTTTCTATTACTGAGCTAACTGGGGTAAATAAAAAATTAATTGTCACATTAAAATTTTTAAATGTGTCTAAGCCGTTGGTTACCACAAAATATGCTGAAGTGTATTTTAACAACGTTTTAGTACACCAATAGATTTTGAAAAACAGATAACAAAATTCTCACTTGAACACCAAGTTCATAGGAAAAAGTTCAAACTTTGGTTCTTAAAAAGTGGATTTTATAGATACTATGTAAATTTTTCCTTCAAAATATGTAAACTGTGCATTTAAAGAAATGTTTGTTATTGGGTTGAATACCTTGAAAATCGGATGCTCGACTGTTTTCCCTAATTTGACCTTTGTAACACTTACCAAATAAAACAAAATCAGCAATTGTATCGCCTTCAGTACCAAAACACTATCTACTGCATAACTCGTGGTATATTTAATCAGTTGACCCGGGGTGATATATTTCGGCAGTTGGCCCGGCAGTTGGTAACGAGTGAGAGCGGTGAAGTTTTTGGATTTTGAACCGCTAGCAATTTTTGCACTTTGAGCTGCCAGCAACCTTTGGACTTTGAATGGCGAGCAACCTTTGAACTTTATACCAACCTTTGGACTTTGAACGGGGAGCAAACTTTAGACCTTGAACGGCTACCGCCGTTTGGACTTTGGTCATCAACCTTTGACTTAATTTCGAAGATCACTACATCGATAACCTTTCCGACTTCTGTCTAGAATTAAAGTCCTCGGCATAAGGAAAGCTAGGTAACTGTGACGGCACCTGAATTTCACCTCACGGAGTTTTATAGTTGAGTTAGGATATCCTTATATGGCTTTCCCTACCTGAACTTGTCAACTTTATATAATATTCCCATAAATTGAACTTTTTCATTACGAAACAAACAAACAACCACCAACCCAAAGGGCATCCCTCGTTAGTCTTAACAAAGTTAAATACATTCGGGGTATGTTCCAACCACGCTCAACCCCAGTTCAAACAACGAGTGCAATAACGGAAAAGAAAAACCTAAAAAGAGAAAATATGAAACTAAAAAACATACCTAAAATGAAATCGCCATTGAATTAAAAAAAATCTGTACACCAAGCTAACTACCGTTACATTCTAAAGTACATGGTTTCATTTGAAAGCTTTCTCTATAATTAATTATTTTCATCTCCACTAACATCAATTATATATATTGTGTTTGACGAAACAAACAAGCGGGTGAGCATTTAAAACAGTTATTAAATAAATACCTTCCACATGCACGTTTGTACTTTGTTTTCGTTCTCGTGTTATTTCTATTTCGTAGCAATAAAATGTATATATCACAGTCGTTTTGTTTTGCCCAATGCGTTTGTTGTAGCTTTATTCTGTCTGTTAAGGTGTTTATTTATAATTTTAGCTAAATACAATATGAATATGAAACAATTATGGTATGCTTTTCCATGTTTCTGTACTGTGCGGAGGTGTTCAATTTATTTTCCTTCCTCTTAATCTTATAACCGAACCTGGGATTTAAATCGCCTTTTAACTATGTGAGCAACTGTTCAGCATCAATTTTCTGTTCGATTTGAAACTCTTTTATGGATCTCGAGCGGTTCATCGAGAAAAAAAACTAAACAGTGAAATCTTTAGGAAATATTATACACTTTTATTTTGAATAGGGAGGTTATTCTTGAAAAGGTGATAGTTTTCGAGTTGTAAGCACAAAACTGTCAAAAAAATATATTTCTCACCTATTTTTGTATTTTTGTTAATGTTACGTCATCAAATTTTGATAGCAAACCTCAGATTCGGATTCATCACCCCACAAAACATATGGAATCAAAGAAATCAAAACTACCCCACAACTTTCCCACTAGAAGCCCGTTTGGGTACAAATGGCCTGTAGTAATAATATTATTAACCAACGCGACGGATAGCTCTCTTGTGGCCCCGTTCTCTATTACTAACTTCATCAATCCTTAAATGACAAAATTTGAACACGGAAACGAAATATTTGTTTCGTCTTTACACATTGACAATTTGTAATACACATACGTGACTCAGTTAGAAGGTCTCTGTTATTTAATATTGAACAAAAAAATGAGAAACATTTTTTTTTCAATTGAAAAAATTTTTTACTTTTATAATATTAAACAGATACAAAAATAATAGGGTCGCCATAATATCCCTAATTTGGGTTACAAAACATATTAGAACCCTTGAAGGACACGATTTGTATTGAATATAAGATACACATTATCCACACAACTACATTCCCTTTGTCGGTACCCAATTTCGACGTCCCGTTCACAGTACTCAATTTTTGGGGCACTTCTTTATAGCTCGAGCTTCCATTAGCGACACTATAACACTCCCAATTTTCCACCGCTATTGTAATCGGGGTTGGAAAATTAAAAGTTCAAAGTGTTGGTTCGAGTAGTTGAAGTCGCATCAGGATTCGGTAGTAAAACAAGATAATAGTTTTACAATTTGCTACCTAAACTATAAATATTAGATTCCATCCAACACGAGAAGGAAAGATCGCGATTAGAGCTCTAAAACACTTTTGGGCGCCCAAAGTTGACTACCCCTCAAAGATGCGCGCTTTGCAAAAGGTGGTTAATTTCGCCATTAGAAAAAGATCTTTCCGACGACACCAACTTGAAAACAATCGGACCAAAATTGCAGAAGATAGGAAAAAATAAAAAAAATCACCACATTCGTATAACACGCTCGGGGATGGCGCCCAGATGTCGCCCACGCTACATCGTGTAACCCCGTCCCTAAAGTTGTTGATTACACAGTCCCTGCAGGTACATGTATACTCCTCGTTGTTCTACTACAGACCCACATCGCCAGCCAGCAGATCAAATTGACATTAAAAACGACCTTTTTACAAATAACTGACGTGGGTCGATTATTATTTATATAAAGTATTCTAATTTTCTTGGCGTATTGTAAAGAAACTCTTCTAATCACCTTCACGGTCGCTCATATAACAACGTTTCGCGCTTTTTTTCAAAACTAACCTCGCGAACCAAAAACGCATAGCTTACGGCACGATCACTAATTGCAGAATCCCTATGACTACACCTTGAACCACGCTCGCGTATGCCGAAAACTAACTCTATTTTCTCTGAACCCGTCCCTACTCTTTTTCACTTGACAAGAACACCCATCAAATGGCGAAAAGAGCGTTATCGATGCATGGGTTTCGAGATAGGCACGTGATATCGCAGATGTTGTTTCACCGATAAGGAAACACAGGTGCGTAGTTTGAGGTGGAACGGAAAGGGAATTTGTTTTAAATAGAAGAGACGGACGTTAATCGTTACTTGTTTGGTGGTGGACACGTAATCGTAGATTTTTTTTGTGGTGGACGCTGAAACGTAACCGTTTATTGTTTTGGTGATTGACACGTTTTCCGTTATTTGAACGTATTATTGGAAAGACAGTCAGTCTTTATAATTGTAAAAAAGTTCTTGGTTCTTGTTATAGAGAAAAGATAGTTGAGTGCTACGAGTATTCAGAGATTTAAGTAGTCGTAATAAATAAAAGTGAGTGTTTTAAGTCAAATTGAAGAAGCGAAGTTTACAAAGAAGTAGAACCAAATTATACATCAGTAGTGTTGTCGAAAATCGAGCTTCAAGTGATATAATTATAGTCGAGGAGTGAAGTTTCGATGCATTTTCCCCTGGTATTTTGTGTTAGTGTCTCTCTTCGAAAATCGCTTAACTTTTAGGTAAAAGCAAAAATGGGGGTGTTGAAGGGGATCAAAGTTAGTTGTAACTTTGTTTACAATCAATCTAACTTCTTTTAATTAATTTGCTATATCGATCAGTTGTTGCATGATATTTTTTCTGGCCCTGAGCGCCTATTTTTCTTTTAGCTTATTTTTTTAATTTAGATTATTGATCACGAATGTGGTAACGCTTGTCCGTTCGTCCCTCTGTCCGTCCGGATCCACTTCTGCCGTGCTGAACAGTTGAACTACTTTTAGGAGAATGTTCCTAGAGCCTGGAATTTTTTACAATAGGTGGTAGTTGAAGGTGTGTCAGACGGGTATCAAATTAGCCGACTGTGTAGCTCAGTGGAAGAGCTTTGGGCTACATACCCGGGAGGTCGGGTGTTCGAACCTGGGCAGAGGTAGGAATTTTTCATCTGTGGTAGAGATGGGAATTTCCTTAGATCAGTTTCGAGCATTCTGCCGGCTACTCCGAATTAGGGTTTCCCGCAATTTTCCTATTTCGTACCGGGGTAGTATAGAACAACTTAAGTAAGATCTTCTGCAGGACCTTTTTAAAAAGCATTATGCGGATCACTCTAGTAATTGGGCGAGAGCGTGTTGAAGGCCCAAAACAAGAAATGGGATAATAGATAAATAAATAAATAAATTTCCTTGTTTTAAAGAGGACCACTTATTATTTCTTAAGGTGCTGTTTTTAGAAGCAAAACGTGTGCAATTTTTACATGTCTATTTGGTCTCATATTTTGCATACGCATCCCAAGTAAGACTTTTGAGAATAGAGGGGTGGGGCGGGGGGGTAAGGACATGTTTTACCCTACCTGGTATTCTAATGAAAGGTCTCATCAAAATGAATTGGGTTGTACAAACTATAACTTTCCCGCGCTACTCTTTTTCGAGGTCAGAGGGGGACCCCGGAGAGGGGGGGGGGAGAATAACTGGTTTTCTCCTTCATGGTACTCTAAGGAAAGGTCTCAACGAAAGGAATTAGTTTCTACCAACCATAGTCCTCCTCCTCGACTTTTTATCGTGATCGGATATAATTCCTTACATCTCAAGAACAGATTGTCGGAGGAGGGTACTCACAAAAGGCGATTGCAACGTCTGGGAGAAATATACTCATTGTCAAAATGTCAAAACTGTCAGAGCGAATATGTATCTCGAAACCGGTTTGTGGGAGGAAAGTATTCAAGTGTCAAGCCCCCCCCCCCCCCCCCCATAAATTATTTCCTGAGATGCTGTGTTTATATGCAACAGCCAACCGGTCTAAGAATTTGCATACACATGCCTCTAGTTGTACCATGTAAAATTTTTTAAAAGGGGGGTGGGGGTAAATTCGTTCTACCCTTCATAGTATTCTAATGAAAGGTCTCACCGAAATGTATTGCTTTGAACTTTCCTGCGCGAGATCTGTAGGTGGCCGGGGGGAGGAGGTAGAGGGTGGAAATCTTTCATGGTATTCCAATGAAAGGTTACAACAAAAGGAACTGTTCTCACCCAACTACCGTCATACTTTTTGACTCCTTATCAAAAGAGGGGGGGGGGGGATTCGAATTCTTCATGGTACTCTAATGAAAGGTCTCAACGAAAGGAATTAACTTCTACCAACCATAGCCTCCTCCTACACTCCTTATCGTGATCGGATATAAATAATTCCTTATATCTGAAGAACTGTTTGTCGGTGGATGGTACTTACAAAGAGCGATTGGGACGTTTGAAAAAAATATACCTATTGGTGATGTCAAAACTTTACGAGCGAATATCTTGAAGGCGCTTTGTCGGAGGAAAGTACCCACAAAGGCAATACGAATTGCCTGGACGAGACATATATTGGTGAAGTCTTCCCATTAATCATCTAACAAGAAAGAAAACATCGTTAAATATAGCATCCTACTCCTTATAACCACTAAGCTACATATTTCGGTGTAAAAAAATGCGTTTTCTCTGCACAGGAGATGTGCACAATTAATACTTGTGTTTTCATAGGCGCGAACAAAAAATAGTCACACAGGTACCTATAGGTCAGGGCTATTAATGATCGTGTGATCAGTAACGTTCCCCTAGAGCAAAAAAAATCGTTGCAAGGACTTTTCCAACAGAGAAACAAGTCTTGTCCTTTACCGTGCAACCTTCATCCCTTGTCCGCCACTTCTTACTTGCCAGTTTTGACTCGAGAGTGTAGTGATGCACCCATATTTCATCAGATGTCACGATACGCTTTAAACAGTCCTCCACTTCTCGCTGAAATTGATCCAGAAGCCTTCGAACGACATTTTTTGGTTTTGTTTTGAAACCTAGTTGATAAGTGATGATGGGTTGGACACTTCTATAGCTGATACCTACTTCTGATTAAATTTCTTCCACAGCTAACTGGCGATAAGCGCTCGAACGACACGAATGTTGCCATCTGTAAGGCTCGTTTGGCGTCGATCGTGAGTTTAGTTTTCAACCCATTCTCGCCCGCCCTTAAATTCTCACATGATTCTGAGACATTGTACTGTCCCCAGACTGTACTTGCAAACGCGTTCAAATTTCTGACGGTTTATAACGCCTTCATTGGTCAAACACTTTATGATCATCCGTTGTAAAGGGCAGGTGGAACTTCAGGACAAGGCATATCTACTGGTGATCTCAAAACTGTTAGTGGAAGTATCTGCAGAACGGAGTGTACTCTCAAAGGGCGGAGAGATCGTCTAGACGAGACACATTTACTGTCGATGTAAAAAAAATGTTGGAGGAAGGCTTAAAAGATAATATTGACACACAGCACAAATTGCTGGTCATTTCATATTCTGTAAACAATTTGAAATAGCGCGAGCAAATGGTGTGTTTCGGTTTATTTTACTCCATTCGCACTAAAAATATAACCTCTATTGTTTTTAAAATAATGCCGGCTTACATAAATACAAAGTTAAATTAATTAATACGCGTTACGAGCTATTTCGAGTGATTGTTAATTATAAGTGTTAACATTATTGAAATAAATAATTCTGTATCTGAAATTCAAAACGTTACGTCACGTGTAATCTTTCACAAACGATGTCGAGCAATTGACACATTCTGCAGTAAATTACACAAAGTGGGTAGAAAAATGCATTCAGAAAATAATACACGTACGGAATACGTTTCGATTGTTACTTGAAACTGCGATCGATATAAGCGGCATTATTCGCTTACCAGCTGACCTATTTTACATAGTATTGAATTTGAATGCAACCGAACCGTAACGTTTACTCTTCCCTTACACAAGAATTACAAGAAAATCATACTCGCACGCCAACCCTTTGAAAACTGACTAGAAAAGGAAACCACAGCCGTTTTCCCTTTTATATAAAGAACGTTTCCCGTGCATCATTTTTCAACCCTTACACCTCCTTAACCGCATAAACACACACTTGCACATTTCCATATTGCTATTTAAATTTGGAGGGAAGCGCGGGTTCCATAAAATATAAAGATCGACTACCTTTGGGATTTCGGTGCTCGCCAAGGAATACGCGAGTGCATGCTTTATGTTGTTTAAGCGAAGATTTAACAACGCCCCGAACCGTACAGGGAAAATTCAATCAAACTAAAACAATCATTTTAATAAAACGCGATCGATATTTCGATTAGTTTTTTATACAATGGGAGTTATGATATTAACAAGTTTGGTGGCGATCGAAACACCTTAAAGTAGTAATAAATAAATAATTCTAAGCTTTAGCTGATATATTAATGGTATCGTACAAATCTTAAATAAAGCGCAGGAAAAGTGGGCGGAAATGGTCGAGAATAAATATTAAAGTCGCCTAAGGTCGTCCTCGAAGGTCATAATTTGGAAAATCGTCTAGTTTCTTCCGCCGTGTATGTATTGGGGTTGTTGTTGTTGTTGTTGTTGTTGTTGCTGTGACTGTTGCTGCTGTTGGGGTTGTTGTTGTTGTGGTTGTTGGGGCTGCTGCTGCTGTTGTAGCTGTTGGGGTTGTAGCTGTTGTGGTTGCTGCTGCTGTTGTTGCTGTTGGGGTTGCTGCTGCTGCTGCTGTTGTTGTTGAGGGGCGGTGCGGTGGACGATCGCGTTGAAACCGTTGTGTGGGTCAGAACTGTAATCGACGGTGCGTCTGGTGCCATCGGGGTCGGTTAGGCTGTATTGGCCCTGCACGATGTCACCGTGGCGAGTTTCGTGCTGGCTCTTGGAGTCTCCCGTGTGGAAGTCGTTGACATCGTAAGCGTAGACGTAGTGAGGGTGAGGGTCGTAGGGTTCAACTCTTGTTTGCGTTACTGGAATGGCAACTGGTAGTATGTGACTCGATGGAATCGGTATGTGTGGTTGAGGTTGTCCTGGTGCTGACTGATGGTGTTGAAGCGTCGAAAAGCTGGTGGCGTGAGGATGTGGATGTCCACCTCCCGGCGATTGGCATTGAGCAGATGCGATGATGGCCGTTAAAATTATTATCTGAAAATTAGAGGGTGGAATTGTATCGGTATTCTACGGTGCTCACCTTTGAAGCCATGTTGCTAGTGCCTGATTGATAGCCAAGCTTGCACTGATAACGAAATGGGTTCTATTCGCGATTTATATACCAGAATCGCGTTAGCAAGCGTGAAGCATGATATGGCACCTTATGCAACTTGCCCTAGATGTAAAATGCGTTTATAATAAGCACATGATACTTCTGGGAACTTGATATTAGAATACTTACATTTGTATTGCTTTGTATTTTTCGCCTTCCAATTGAGACTGTTACACAGACTAGACTTATCCAATTTCTTTGGCGTCGCCCTTTCATGTGCTTTCAGGGACGCTTATATCCATTACGCTTACCAAGTGTGAAAATGTAGGTAATTAGATTACAAGCACCGAATTACATTCATTATTGGACGAACGTATCTGTAATTTGCAAAACGTACCGAAGCTTCTCATTATGCAACCGCATCTACGTAAATCGCGATTTTCGTTCAATTTCCAATTCACTCGCTTTAATATTAATTGAGCATCGTTTCGATTAACTGTCATAGATGTGAATAGGATTCTCGAAATCCAATTACCTACTTTCTTTGTGCCATTTTCAGAGGTTCGGTCTTTAAATTGAATCAAATAACAATAGAGTTGTAGATTGAGAGCATCTCATTTTTAGAACCTGACATGTCTCATACGAACAGGTGCCGACATAGCATACGTAGGTACATTTTGGATGACAAAATATCAAAATTGATGGCAAGTATAACATCTTATTAGCCAGAAGAAATCAATTTTTACTTTCCAGAGGGTCGTTACAATGGCGTAACGGTAACCACACATTCCTTTATCATTTTTTGTGCTCTTATGTGCTACTTACGAAAATTTGTGCTCATCAATAAGGCCGTTATGTAATTTTGAAGAAAAACTCTCGTTACGTGTGCGTAATCAAATGTAATTTCGTGCTTTTATGTGTTGATAATTTTAAAGTAAAGTGAAAATGTATTCCGCTGAAACGATTAAAATAAAATCCATGCAACAAAGAAACGTTACAAAGATTGTTTGGACATAATACCCCGCACGCAGATGGTCAACAAGTAAAATAAGGAATATTAAAATTACTTTTCCTTTTAAGCCAAATCATTTGGTCGTAAAATGGAGTTTGCGATATTCAGGTGCAGTTATCAAAGACACAAGAACACTGGATCTTGATAAATAAGATGAGAAATATTTGGTGGCTGCTCGGATTTAATGAACGACAAACCTTTTAGCAGGATTTTACTAAGCTGACAACACTGTTTTGTTTACTCACACTCAAACTAACTTTTTCAGAATACGGACAAACCGCTTTAAAAACTTTCCACAAACTTTTACCCCTGCACACGATAATTTAAATCTTTTATTAAGACTGCTTAACTTCTGCACACTTTATTCCGAAACAGACGAACTGCGTCTGCAATTAACTGCCCGAGAAATTAGCGTAAACAAAAATACACGTTCTTTACGGTTGCGGAACTCGCAGCAGCAGTTTACGTTGATTCTACTATTTAAGAGAACACAACTTCTACTCTAAGATCATCTCCTTCTTCAGGATTTTCGAATACACCGCCAATCACAATTAGACTTGATAACGTCCATTTCGAAGGAACGCATCCCAACTTGCGCCATAATAACACGCACTTCTTCGGAACATATTATCTGTTCTAACAGCGATAACACGTGCGTCAATTAAATTTCGTCCGAGAAAAACTTCTGATCTCAAAGGACCAGTCGTCTTGTAATACCTCATCTAAATTGAATAAATTGCAAAAGGTACAAAATCCAATCAAGAAAATATTACACAATTAAAAACAATTATTCTAAAAGGAAAAAAAAGACACTGAAATAACAAATTGAAATACAATAAACCAACCCTGTGCTAATTCATAGAAAATTCCGCAGATTTACACGTAATAGAATTATTTCAATTCTATTACGTGTAAATCTCATATACAGGATGCCCCGTCATTATTTTTGGTGTACGCCGAAATAATGCGCAATTCTTAGGAACATCTTATCTGTTCTAACAGCCATAAAAACACGCGTGCGATAATTAAATTTCGTCCGATACAAACTCCTTATCGCAAACGACCGGACGTCTTGTAACACCTCATCTAAATTGAATAAATTGTAAAAGGGACGAAATCTAAACAAGAAGATAGAAGTTACACAATTAAAAACAATTATTCTGAAAGGAAAAAAAAAGACACTAAAATAACAAATTGAAATACAATAAACCAACTCTGTGCTAATTAATAAAAAAGCCCCTAGATTTACACTTAATAGAACTGAAATATTCTCATATACAGGGTGTCCCGTCATTATTTTTGGTGTACGCCGAAATGATACGCAATTCTTCGTAACACCTTATCTGTTCTAACAGCGATAAAAACACGTGCGTTAATTAAATTTCGTCAGATAAAAACTCCTTATCGCAAACGACCAGACGTCTTGTAATACCTCATCTAAATTGAATAAATTGCAAAAGGGACAAAATCTAATCAAGAAAATATTACATAATTAAAAACAATTATTCTAAATGGAAAAAAGGCACTGAAATAAGAAATTGAAATGCAATAAACCAACTCTGTGCTAATTCATAGAAAATCCCCCAGATTTACACTTAATAGAATTGAAATATTCTCATATACAGGGTATCCCGTCATTATTTTATTAACATCTACCAATGTATGAAGCTGTATCATCTGAAAAATTTGAATCAATTATGAACGAGCTTGGAAGAACATTTCAAATTAGCGTAAGACAAAATGGGAAAAACAATATAGTAAATGGATATTCTGATTGTTGATACTAGAGTATTAATTTTATTCATTTCCTCCTGAATCAAAATTAATGAGAAGGACGTTTCTATAATATTGTGAATAAATAAACATGTCAGCTGGCTATGTCTCGATGGGAAGATTGTCAGTTGATTCCCAGTGTATTGCAGGAGCCAGAGAGGAGTATCCATCGCCTATTTAAATGTACCAGCTGACGAGTTTTCCCTGGGTATATCTAGCTGACTTTTTTTATATTACTTCATGATACAACCATCTGAACCATTTTACAAGTTATCGCCCGAGAGGCTGTTGGTCATGAAAATCTGTTGCTGGCTCGCGGAGAATGAGCACGAAATGAGCACAAAAAATTGCACACTTAAAACTGAAAAAGGAACACAGGACTTAATGTTGACTTTAAATTTTATCAATTTGAATAACAGTAAAGTTGGTCGGCTGTCGACAATTCCAAAGAATCAACTAAACAATTTGGGTCGCACTTTGGGTTCGATTAAACACGCAGCTACAACAATTCTGGAAGAAAGAAAAGCATTTAAAGCCTGTTTTTTCGCACAGGCGTTCGACAGAAAATTAAATAAAGACATCTTAATTACTTACAGTTTTTCAAGAATCCAATAAATCTGATCGTAAAAATTTTTCGACATTCAAGCGCACTTAAAACTGACGCCAACACACGCTGTCAGCTTCAGGAACTTCATTTACTCGAACTACTACTTTTTTCGTTAACGGAAATAACCGCGTAACAAAAATCAAGCACTCCAAACGTCACCAATAAACAAATCCCTGTTTAAACGTTCTCTCCCGTATTTAAGGGATCCACCCCGTCCAATATAAAGTTTTTCCTAATGAATTTTCACATAAACCGCTAAAGCCAGCGTCGAAATAGCTCCGCACCCCCACTTACGCCGAGAAACGCGCACGTCTTCTTATCGAACCACATGTGCATTAATTAAATTATCGCAAACGACCTTCCACAAAAAATTTGACCAGATGTGTCTTACTTCTAGCGCTTTATCTAAATTGAACAACTTTAAAAAGCGATCAAATTAAAACGAAAATTACGCACCTACACAAGTTTCTGAAAGGCCAAACAAATACTGAAATACAAATTTAAATGAAACTCGTTAATTCGTAAGAACTCACGAGATTTACTTAAAAAAATCACACACAGGGTGGCCCAACCTTATTGAAGGTGTTGAAATCACAACATACACAACAGTATGCTCTTTAATAATATGTAGTGAAATCTAGTAGTTGCCATTAAAAAATTGCCCTTTACCATGCAGAAGTACGCCACTGATCACAAATTTATTTATTGTGGATACCATAAATCACTCCTTTGCAAAAATTTTAGTTTTGAAGATATAGTCAGTGTTCCAGACGAAATTTTCACCATGTATATTAGATTTGAATAAGGATTTCGATTTCTAGTCTAATAATATAGTCCGCCTATGACGATCAATTTGTTCACGTAAAATTTACGTCCAAATATTTTTCTTACATTCCATTTCTATTCGATTCTTACTTTCATTTAAGTGATATTCTTACGCCATTTAGGTATTTCATTTGTGATCCGGTTTAATTAAGATGTAAGTTATATTTATTGCAGATTTGTTATTACCTTAGTTTTCTAGTTCGTCGGTAGAGGCCATCCGAGTGTTATAGGTCTCATGTACAATGCTTCTTTGTTTTACCCCCAGAGGTCGTGCAGACGTTTTTCGTGATATTTCTAATGCTATCCCTTTTTTAATTTGGTCTTGCGTACAGTTGTACTTGTTGCGCGTAGAAAAGATCTGACCTTCACAGTGGTTAGTTCCAAATTCTCTATGTCTGATACGCTTCTCATATTTATATTTGCAAGTAATTAGGGTGAGGGGTTTACGGATTACCTGGCGATCTACTTACATGGAAGTCTTTTACATTTGAATGTTGTTGCTGTTTAACTGCAAGTATAACTAAACCTTCTGGGAGTATTAGCTTTGTGAATCGCTTCGATATTTCTGATTCTATATACGTAATTTTGTCGTTACCGAAGAAAATACCTTCCGAGACTTCTTTAATGATAGTTTGATTACGTGTATCGTTCAGATTTGTTTGTTATAAGAAGATTTTAGTTATCGTTGCTTTGTAAATTCGTTTTTCAAATTACCGACTTAGGTTACCTGTTTCGTGTATAGAAATTTAGTTATTTGTGCATAATAAAATAATTTTCTTAACGTCACATTTATGTTTTTATTTTAGCGACTTGTACCGACTATTCGTTATCGA